ATGTACATATCTAATACGTATTTTTGAATATACAATCATACAAAAGTTCCATTTGACATGTAATATAACACATTTACAGGCTGTAGGAGAGAAGGAGCTGGAAGTTTTAAAAGGTCCTTTATTCTGCTTCCCACACAGAAGGTCATTCTGGAATACTAGCTATTTTTAAATTTCATTTTATCAGGATAGGGACATATCTATTTATATATTTTACTTATATATGTATATATAAATACCTATTTATATATTTTCTGTGGCTAGTTTCAAAATATGATAGCATAATTGAGTACATGTGACAAAAATAATTAGGTGTCTATGTATGAAATATTTACTACCTGCCTCTTCACTGAAAAAAAAATTGCTGATCCTTGCTTCAAAAATAGGAGAATTAGTCTAAAATATTTTTGGAATAATATCAAATAGATGTTGTAAAAATAAACTACATGAAAAATGTGAGGAGGACCCTTGCTCATACTGAGAAATTGGGAATATAACCCGAGGAAGTAACTTAACTAGAGAACTATTTTCATTTCGCTTTTAGCTATTGGCAAACAATCCACCTTGTCTACTTAACATGTCAAGATTTTCAAACAAAATAATCACCAAGAGCCTTAGCCAGGCAAAGTATCAGAAATTGCTTCCAAATAGACAAAAGTTGGGATAGAAAAACAATTGAAAAGTGACGCTTGCAAAAGTCATGGATTCATAGACTGCGATTTCTACAGCTTTGGGAAATAATTTTCAGTACTTTATCGACTTTGATAATCATGGAAATACTGGTGCATGCTGGGATTTAATTTTGTTGTTTTTCATGCTTATTGATGGCAAAAAGCACTGAACATTTCCACCATGTTTCCCACTATGATTTACAAATGTTATGGCTTGCAATCAATTTTTATTCATACGCATATATCAAATTTTATCATTTGTAAGCTTGGTGAGTTATCACATAAGAATATAGCAAAGGAAGTAAAATACACAGGCCCAAATTCCCATGAGAATTTTCACATACATCTACTTCAGGAACTACAAATTTCTCAAATGATTCACCTCACAGCATTCATAGGAAGAAGCAGTAGCTTCCTTCCTACAGGATTGACTTTTGTTTGCTTGTTTGTTGGTTTGCTTTTTCCAAGATTAGATTGCAAACCAGTGCAATTCAGACAATATTTCCACCTTAACAGAAAGAACCACATAACTATATTTTACTTGGAAAAAGAGTAAATTTTCAGACTTGCAAAGTTGATACACATGACATAACTACAATGCATTTGCTGTCTAATCTTCCTACTCATCTTTACATACATGGGTGCCATCCACCTTGGAAAGACACAGTAGGTCTAGATTATCATCCAAAGAACACTCAGAGTGAGTGTATGTGTATGTACTTGTGTATATACATAGATGCATGTTACTGTCCTTATTTAAATCTCAATTATTATTTTCAAGAAAATTATTAACTTCACATATATCTCTTAGAATCTAAAATTTTTATATGTAAAATATAAATGACACTGAATGACAACAGTGATACATAATGCAAATGTCTTTTTTTCTGGGAAAAGTAACACTGATAATGCTTAAAAACAAGTGATTGCTATGTGTAAACATTGGGCATCGGGCACTTTTACTTTACAGCTTACAAAAGTGAACTGTCAACACTGAGAAGGTGAGCAGATAATGGTGCACTGCTCATTAATGACTGTGCTAGTTAGAGCAGCAATTGACTTTGCTAAATATCATTTGGGATGGCGCGGTTCCATATTCTATTTCCTATTCCTGCGGGCTCCCAAGGGCCTTATTACATTTAACATTACTATAAATGCTATTTGTGAAAAAGCTTTTTAAAAGGACAGATTTCATTTACAAAATGTTAATAGGCTTTTCCCTAGACTCGCTATAACTTTTAATCCCCATTTTCTGTTTTATTCACTTGACATATGAAGCACGTTCCATTTGCAAGTTGTTATCCTTTGCTGAGCTCAGAGCAGTGCACCAGACACTTTAGCTATAAGAAAACACGTAAATAGAGACAGATTTGTCACTATAGATTTCTTATATTCCAAATACTTCAATTGCAAAGATAAAATCAAAGGATATGCAGATATCTGTATAAATAATGAAGCTGTAGCTAATTTTTGCTTCAGTGTTCACATGAAAATGCATTTTGTTACATTCTAGTTGAGATTTTAATATTTCAGCATTGGCTATTTTATTATCTCTTTAATGGAAATAAACTAATATCAGTATATGAAATGCCAGTATATGACTGGCAATAAATATCAAGATATTCAGTAAATCAGTCACATATTCTTTTCTTCAGTGAAGAATAAAATATTTTTCAAAATCAAAGTTTAGTAGTAATGTAAATGTAAATGTAATAAGAGTTAAAAAATTCCAAACAATAAGCCCGAAATGCAATAAATACTGTAAAAACAATTCAATAGATATTTAAAATAGAGGAAGTACAGGATTGTCCAGAGAAGCACAAGTCCATAAACGCTAGCTGGAGCCATGCTTGAAACCAGGAACTCAGCCAAACAGAAAGTCAGGAGGACATCAAATCACGCCCCCTTTATTTTAATAAGCCTTACAGCGGCCTAGTCTCTCTTTGCCTCATTCGTTTAATAACTTTGTTTACACTGTCCTCAATATGGATATTTTGCAATGAGAAAAATTGGTGGGTGGAATCTGACCAATACAATTATTTACAATATTTTAAAAACCACTGAATCATTTCTAAGTGAAATACTTCTATGCTGACTTTCATGACACTACAGGATCTAGTTGGTGCATAACAAAATTGTTTACAATTTACTGCTTCCTATACATAGACAACGATTTCTTTATATATGGTCTACCTTATTCAAAATATCAACTGACAAATACATATTTGCCGAAAACTTTGACTCATATAATAAACACGTTCATTTTCAATAGCCTTAGTAAATTTATGAGTGTGTTTTGGTTTTAATATGAAATGTCCCTCCCAAGCTCATGTATCGATACGTAAGTCAGCTAATGGGAGGCTGTAGAACCTTCAAGAGGAGAGGCTTAGTAGGAAAAAGTAGGTCAGCGGGTATTGTGCCTTTGAAGGTTATAAATGGCATCCCATTCCTCTCTAAACTTCCTGATCACCAAGAAGGGAAGAACAGCTTCGACTCCAGCTCTCACCACTCTGCCCAAGTTCGTGGAAGCCACCCAACTGTGCCCAGACCCCCTAAAACCAGGAGGCAAAGTGAATCATTTTTCGCTAAAATTGTTTTGTGAAGTATTTGTTCATAGGGATGAGAAAATAAAATAAAAACTTTTTCATTGAAATTATATTTGCAATTATTCTTTTTCTATTCACCAGAATACATTTCTCTAAGTATCTTTTGCATAGGAAGCAAGGTACAAATTCTAACACTGTACTACTTATTTGGTAGTCCTAGAATTACATTGCAAATAATAACTCTTACCGCTTTACTTCCTCTAACTATATAGACATGTCTAAGAGAAACTATAACAACAACAACAAAAAGATAAATCTCACAGAACTTTGAACACATGAATAAATAGGTTTCTTATTAAAAATCTAATGTGTCTCTCAGTACAGTAAAGTAATGAAGAAGGAGATACTAAGGATAAATCTTCAGCTTGGTCACATGTTATCAAAAGCAGGAGAGATCTAATATTTTAAATATTAATTACAATGTTGGAAAGCCATTACAGAAAGATTTGCAGTTTCATTAAACAGTCTTGAAGCCCGCGGCCTCTTATGATAATGTAGTACACAGGGAAGATGATTATCTCTTTCTACAAAACTAAGTCTGACTTCTGGGGGAAATCAGAAATTACACAATAGCACAAACATTTGAGTTTTATAGCCCAAAGGAGGTGGATGTAAACTCTCTTTTTCACTAGCTACATGTACTTGAGAAAACAATTCAATCACTTTTTGTTTTCTTTACTACAAAAAATCGACTTCACAGAAACATTGTTAGGAATAGGAAAATAAAATAAATTAAAAACATGCAAATATGTGATGGCCCTTTTTAATACAAGAGGGGAAGTGGCATTATAAGGAGGCTCTTGAAAGGAACCACATCCCTTGCCTTAATCCATTAACTATTTAATTATTTAATTAAATGTAGAAATGATAGGAAGTAATTTTACATTTATGCCAGGCTTAATAAGACCCAGTTGCAAGACTCAGCTGCAGTTGGATTGGTTTAGGGAAAGGCTTTCGTCATTCTGGCATGAACAGTCACAATTCAGAGTGCTAGAGCACCCAGACAAGGTTAACAAAAGTATGAGTAAGAGTAAAAAGATTAGTAAAAGTATTAGCATTTTTACATGCCACCCTATATATTAAATCAATTTTAAAAATTACTTTATGTTTATGGGTGTTTTGCCTGCATGTGTATTTGTACACCTTATGGGGTCCTTGTGGCCATGGTGACCAGAAGAGGGCATCGGAGCCCTTGGAACTTGAGTTCCATACTGGGAGCTGCCTTATAGATGCTGCAAATTAAACTTGAATCCTCAGGGAGAGTAGCCAGTGCTTTTAATCACTAAGCCATCTCTCCAGTGCCATTACCTTCAGTATTGAAATATCATAATATCCTGTAAGTTAGTTCCTTGCTTTGGAATTGTTCATAGTTTTGACTGCTAAATGATTTTTAAATCCACATCACTTTCCCCCACTACATAGTAAGATAGATTCTTATTTGCATTCTGACTCCCAGGACATAACAAGAATTCAGTAAACCCACATGCACAGACAAATGAACAATTTACTAATTATCCTCTTGGATAAATTGAAGACAGTTTTATCATGAATGAAAGCATAGAATTACATGGTTGTCTGCTTCTATACATGTTCATAATGAGTAAATTCATTTGTGATTATAGAAAGACAGAAAATGTGCTCTGATTTTATTGGTTAAAATAATGACCATTAACCACATTCAAGGGTAATTCTGTAAGCAGCTCAATGTCAAGGACATGATACTTACATTCGCCAAGTGAGCTAGCTCTATCTCCAAAAATGAGTCAGTTGTTTTGGGTTCAGGCCTGATTGTGACCACGATGATTTTAGAATTAACGACAGTATAATTTCTGAAACAGAATAATAATGATTAAAAAGAGAAATGATTGATGGAAACTGATTCATGCCACTCCATACCTGTTGAGATGACATTAAGTAATGCATCCTCAGTAAAAGCATAGACCCAGGTAAATTATTCACTGAAAGACACAGTCAATGCACTCTTATGAATAAGCTCTCTCAGGGACTAGAAATTCTGGGGAGAAGTAAAGGCATTTAATCATTTTATATGTAGAAAAAAAGGAAAGAAACTATGAATTGAAAATATCAGCCAATCTATGAATGAGTATAACTCATTTATTTCAAGGAAGACCTCACAGCTTTATTCTCCAGGAGACCAAATATTCACCTTGCCAAGTGCTGCCATGGCAGTTTTTTTTTTGTTTTGTGTTTTTACTTCCCCCAAATACATGAAGATGGAAAACTGTAATGTGATATAAGATGAAAGCATGCAGAATTTTAATACAATGTTCTCAATCTGGGAAACATCTCTCTTCAGAA